CCCCAAAACCCCAAAACCCCAAAACCCCAAAACCCCAAAACCCCAAAACCCCTGTTAATAAGATTTAATGGAATTTTATATAATGTCCTCTAATTGCTACTCCTTTGTACCCTTAAAAAATTTATCATACTCGTAACATGCGAATTCATAGGCGGAGAACATGAACCCATTAGCCCAGAATGCTCTAATTGCTCAAGGAGTGAATCCTTTCCAGAAACCATAAGTGCCTTCTTTCACCCAGATTTCCTTTACACAGGAAATGATTCCTTCATCAGGGATGGTAGGATGTCTTGGGTACCTATAGAGATATACTAGGATAAGTACTTGATTTGGCCAACTTTTTGTGTCTGTAGCTTTGTCTTTACAATATCTTGAGGGTATGATGTGAGCCAGCAACAGAGTCCACCAACGCCACCAGATAGGAAGTATGAGGAGTGACCCAACTCATCCAGCGAGCATCCATGGAACTGAGCTAATGCTCTTTTGAATAAGAAGTATCCACCAAATTGGCCAGCGTAGCAGAAGGTTTCTCTAAGAATTGTGCTAATAAGACCAGAGGTCATCAACACGCTTAGTCCTTCTTCTCTGACAACTTTCATACAGCAGTCAATAGGCCCTTTATAATATGCTCTCTTCATCGAATCTGTCTGGACTATAAAACTCATAAAGTATGCTAGTGGAAAAGAGTAATACTTAATTTTCGATCCTTATGCACATAATTTTTCACAAAATATCCAAAAATCAACCAATTTTTTTAACTCAAATATTTGCAGAACACTTTCTTACCTTGTAGCCTTCATTTCACAAGTTCCACTGGTGAAATGACAAAAGAATTAACAAATCCAGCGAACATGCCTGCATAAAGCGATTGTTGAAAGGTAAAATCATCTTCGCTCTCTACTCCTAGGATTCTCTTACAAAGCTCGTATGAGGACATTACGATAGCATTCACAATTGGGATAGTGCATAGAGGAGGCGTCAGTCCCCTGTAAAAACTGATAAGACCTTCATTCTTCACAATTCCTTTGACTCATTGGGTTAAGGATATTCTAACCTTCGAGGTTTGCATCCTTACCTTCAAGGAATCAAAGGGATGTCCAGACAGAGTCTGGAAAATCCCTGCGAAGGTACCGCAGGCAAAGTCCTTCACCATATATTGGATGTGAGTCATGTCTTCTTCTCCTACGGTTTCTCCCATTTTAAATTACTCAATTATAAAACTTAGCATAGGGGTTTTGGGGTTTTGGGGTTTTGGGGTTTTGGGG